TAGCGCCCTCTATGAACTTTAACCAAAATGTGAACAGATTTCAATTCCTCTACTCAACGAACTCCAATCCCCAAAATTTTGTGAGGATATTTGCATTTGTTAAGGAATAAATTAAAAAAAACTGAAATAATATTTTACATTTAACACCCTGTATCTCTTTAACTATCAACTTTTGGACTAAGGTAAGTTCGGCTAAATCGCAATATTTTTACTTGGGGAATCTACCCATGAATTTTGGCCCATTACGTCGCGACCACCCTGTATAATGTACTAATAAAAACCATTGCTATCAGTTTTGATAAATAAAATAAATAATAAATAAATTTTATTTTCATGAAAATATGTATTTACATAAATAGGAATAGTTGTTAATGTTACTTAAAGTTACCTAATGTCTGGCTAAAAATTCAATTTGCAACTTGTGCTAAAAAAAATCATTCACGTAATAAATTAAGTTTGCATACATTACTTTGTATCTGCAGTGTCTGGTAAAAATTTAAGTTGTCATGTTTTTTATGAACAATTTCTAAGCCCACAAAGAGAACTTTCATGATGAAAAAATTTCAAATAAACTTTACTAGTAGTCATCCTGGGATTTGCAAAAGGTTGCACCCATACCTATACGGAAGATTTTTCTTTCACAAAATTTTCATTTTTCTTGAAATTATGTAATTGTGAATTTAAATAGGTATAACTATGAACAAAATGCAATTTTGTTTAGAAAAAACATTTAATTGCATTTTTCTGTCGATTATAAAAAAATTTGTTTGCACTTATACGTGCAACTCTTTTCAACATCCCAGGGTGAGGAGGACATCCCCAGTTTAAATTCTTATTTTGCAAATTTCGTTCAAAATTTTTTCATCACGAATGTTCTCTTTATGCGCCTAACAATCTCGCCTAAAAAGCAATATTACTCCCATGCGACTTTATAAATGAATGACCACTTCAGTTTTCACCAGCCACCCACTTTCTAGCTTCACTTCTGAAGAATTTATTTTTGAGAATTATTATAGTTTGTTCAAGAATAAAATTTAAAAAATAAAATTTCTTTCTACCTAGTTAAGTAGTTGGTAAGACTCATAATAACACTTTTATTAAATTCTGCAATCAATTGTTCTTCACTATTTGCAGCAAACTTTGATAGACATCTAGTTCTATTTTGAGTTTAGAATTGGGTCAGTTTTTACAAAATTATTATTTTAATTATAATTACTTCTAGAAAGTTTATAGAGGAAGGGAGCCAACTTCGACTTAATTTATTACCCAGACTTTCCACCTCATTGCAATTTTTGTCAAAATAAACCTACTTACCCAACAGATAGTTAACAAAATTGCTATATATGGAGGGCCACATTTAAGATATAAATAAAATAAGGATTATGTCAATTTGAATTTAACCCTGTTTCACTACTCCAGAATTTCTTTCAAACTTAGGTAATAATCAGGTGCAGTGAACCAAAAGAAACCTCCAGTCTAAAATGTTTTAGAAATCATAATTGGATAAATCAAAAATATTTTAAAATGGATACAAGTAAATATACTTCATACAGAAATAAGTGCCAACATTTTTATTACATGTTTAACTCGTCAAAAGTGACAATTTTGTGTATTTTTTTTCAAAAACCCCTTGGTTTTTAAGATAACATATTTTTTTAAATTGTCTTCTGCCACTGGAGCATAAATTGAAACACTTAGTTGAGTTACTTGACTTGCTAGTGTTTCTGCAAAAAAATTTAAAAACTGAATTATTCCATAAAATATTTGTATACGTTACTTTGGTATTTCTGTAATACTTCTTCATTGACAGCTCATTAGAGTTATTTTATAGATACGGATCAGCGAACAAAATTGTAAATTTTCCAAAAACATTTGTTTGGCAAAAGTTGTTGCTTTCCATGATATGTGGTTAAAGTTTGTGGCTCTTATTTCTGGGGTACTCTGTATATGAATATTGCGACAAACTTTTTAAGATTTAATATTTTCATCAAAATAGGTCAAAATCAATAGATCAATAGGTCAATAGATCAAAAAACAAACAATTTTTACCAATTTTGTTTAAGAATCAAACCAACTAAACTTGTTTAGGTTTTAAAAATTTATAGTTTATTTTTTAGGGAAAGGGCCTTCATTTAACCTTACTAAGGCCTAAATTAACATGTTATCGTTTTAAACAGAACAGTATTAATTTAATAAAATCTTACCTTGTGGATCCAGAACAGATGTTAACTATAATGGATGATGATCTGAATTAAGAAATATTAAATATGGGATGCCTCAGGGATCCATTTTAGATCCTATACTTTTTTAATGTATATATTGTATTTTGTATTTGTTGTATTTTTTTCGCTCCACATGTTTGTTATTCTCTTTTAATCTGTAGTATTGTACCAATAGTACTGTTTTATTTTATATTGTATGCTTATATTTTAGATTTTTTTTTCATATTGTTTTTTGCTCTTGAGTTTTATAGGTTTTTACCTCTACTCTTATTATGTTAATAATAATAATAATAATAATAATAATAATAATAATAATGATAAAGAAGTGCTTTGCGCCACCCCCAAAACCAGTCTCTGGATCCGGGCCTGGTCAATCGTTTTTCCAAATCAGTTGGCAACAAAATAAGTTTTGAAAATTGATTTAATACAAATAAACCTACTTTAAACACTGCAGAAACTCAAACACATTTTTGTCTTTGTAGATGCGAAGAGTTCGATTCTTCAGCAACAGTTAAATTCTTAGGAATTATTTTGGACTCACGACTTAGTTGGGAATCTCATGTTGATTATCTCATAAGTTATCGAGATATATTTTTATGTCACAATTTAAAGAATAATACATCTAGAAATATTTTACATACATTACCATGCATATTCTCACTCGAACATGTCTTACACCATATTAAATTGGGGTCATTCAACCCATCTGGAATCTAGAATTTTAGGGCGGGTGCTTAAAAAGCTATGGCACTTAGGCCCCCTTGGGCCCCTTGTACTTCCTCCCATTAGGAGATCAATCCACCTGAGCCGTTAACCAACCCTTATTATGAGAAAAAGATGATGATGTTGCTCAGGGGCATCTCTCTAATACCATTCAACCCATATGGGAAGTGTTTGCAATTCAGAGGAAGTGTGTTGGAGTTATTACAGATCTAAACTATAGAGACTACCGTAGAGCCAAATTTGTTGAATTGACCATTTTAGCACGTTGTGTTTATATTCTACATTGTTTGTTATACGTTAAGAGTAATCTATCCAATTACTCGACACACAGCAGTCATCATGACTATAATATACGTCGTACGCTCTAGTGCAATTTATTACTTTTATACAGGATATTTCATTTCCGGAGTGCCAAACGAACACAAATGATAGAGAAAGTAATTTTGAGCAAAATATTGACATGTGTCCCCCCTGTTGCGCTACGCCCCCCTAAAGGGGCCATGAAGATACAAATTTAATTACATCTCGAAAATACTTCGAAGTAAATTGATACAGAGGTACTATTTATTACGAGGAATTTCTTTATCTAAATCAAATTAACACATTGTTTTTAGGAGCGTTCCTACAGGGGGCAAGGTTCAAAATCTGTAACTTTTTATTTGTCAAATTCGTAATTCTTTTTTCGAATATCAAAATCTTCGATCATTTCTATATAAAAAAGATATACTTGTTTCATTACGATATTTGCAACAGTTTTCCAGAAAAAGCCAATTTTAATTCATACTGAAAATTAAAAATTATAGAGAACCTAGAATTCTATTTTCCCTACATGAAATAAGTATGTAGAAATAGTCAAGGATTTCGATTTCAGAAAAAAAATATTACGAATTTAACAAATAAAAAAGTTACGGATATTGAACCTTGGCTTGCCCCCGTAGGGACGCCCCTGAAAATAATGTGTCAATTTGGTTTAGATCAGCAGTATTCAAACTGTGTTCTACGAAATCCTGGAGTTCCGCACAACCTCTCTGGGGGTTCCGCGACTCAAGTCAAAAATTTCAAATTTTATTATCGATAATTACAAAATTCAAGAAAATGTATACTCTTAAAACTTTTATTTTTATAAGTACACGCGTATAAGTTACTATAAGAGCTTTATCTGTTTATGCAAGTGCAAGTAAGTCGGCTTAGAACTTTTAAGCTGGTGCAACGTTCTTCACGTTGGTGACGTCACCTCTCCCTTGATTTTTAGCTAGACATTTATAAGGAATATTCTGAAATTGCTGACCAGGCAATAAATGTATTAATGCCTTGTACAACTACGTACTTGTAAGAAAAATCATTTTCCACATACGTAGCGACAAAAACAAAGTATCGCGATGCGCTTAAGGCCGAATTTGAAATGCGATTGCAACTTACAACAATAGCACCTGATTTTAACATATTATGTAAAAATATTCAAGGACATCCCAATCTTTGTTTATAATTAAGTACTCTTTTTTTAATTACTCAATAAATATTTACTTTAAACTTTACAGTCTTTAATTTTTACTTAGAATTTATTTTGTTAATCGTAGTATTTATAAATATATTAAATAATCAGTAAAAAATGTGTTGGAACATTTTTTTAGGTGTGGAAGTTTCTCAAAAAAATCGAAGTGTTGGCGAAGTTCCGCAAGTCGTAAAAGTTTGAAGACCGCTGGTTTAGATAAAGTAATTTCTAATAAAATTGTATTCATTTATCTAGAAGCATTTTCGAGATATTGTAATAAAATTGTGTCTTAATGGCCCCCTTTAAAGAGGTGTAGTGCAACAGGGGGGCGTTTTCGGACCCACGTCGATATGAACTTATTTACTAAAAATTACTTTCTCTATCATCTGTGTTCGCTTGACAGGCCGGAAATGAAACACCCTGTATTGTATTTCCGGAGAAGTTTACTTTAAAGTAATTTTTTCTTCAGTAGAATTTTTTAATGCAATTAAAACAAATTTATGAATTCATAATAAATTTATTTCTAACTGCTAATTAAAAAATATAATGGCACGAATCTAATTGAAAAAATGTAAATTTGTATATAAAGTTGTGACGCATATAAAAAAACCTATTGTACATTTTGTACTATTTTAATATAATAGCCTGCGAACGTGTTTAAGTACCAGTAGTATTGACAGTTATAGACTTATTGTAAAAATAACTGTAAAATAATTTAAGTTTCACAACACAATTTATTTGTAAAATCATCCAAAAATAGGTAGGTATTCTTATTCGACAAATTCAATGAACTATGACAGTTTTTTAGGAACCAGTGTCGGCCAACTGATCTTTCAACTGTTCGGGTCGGTACACTCCTCTTTCTGTAATGATGCCAGCTATAAGCGATGCAGGAGTCACATCGAAAGCAGGATTCCAACAGGCAATTCCTATAAACAAAAATTTATTTATAAACTATTTATATTCAAAAAATGTCTGCTTTCCAACAAATTTTACAAACTTGGATTGTTAGAAATAACTCAAGTTGGCAGAAGCAATTATACAGGTGTACCATTTAATTTTTTTCTGAAAACTAAAAGGCCTATTTTAAACCGATACTAACCATAGGTAGAACCGAATAAACGCTAAAAAATATATTTTTTTATATTCATGCTTACAGGTGGTGTTATTGTGCCGAAAACAAACACACTTTGACAGTTTTGTGCCTCTTTACTCATTCTGTAAAATTAACCCTTCATCATATATTTCCATTTTATTTACTGTTCCGATACGAATAATGTTCTATAACTTTTTCTAATACAAGTTCTTAATACATTTTTTTACAATAAACAAGGGTAACACCACTGTAAAATTCTAAAATAAAGTGTTTTTAGTGACTTTTTTTTAATAGTAGGAAAAGTTAAAGGATAATAATATTCAAAATGCTATTAACCGTGTCTTTAAGTATTAAAAAAATATATATGTATTTATTCGTAAATGGCGATGCTCTGCGGCATGCGGTGTAACTGATGCAAATTTGAAGATGGATAAAAAAAAAATTTTCTCATAATCTATATGAGTATGACTAGAGAAATACTTATGGGATTTTGAAAACATTAATTTTTATGTGATTGGCGAGCATTTGAAGTAAAAAGTTCAATTTTTGACAAAAAAAGGGGCAATAATTTGTCAATAAATAATGTTAAAATCAATTTACCGAAAATCTCGTACATACTTAGGGTTCATAGTTCCAAATATAGAATTTCCTGACTTTTTCAGGTTTTCCCTGACTTATAAAAAAAAATTCAGGTCACTTGTAGTTAATTTTTACACACTAATTGGTGTTTATGCATTAGACTTTTTCTAGACTGGACCATAATATTTTTATACTCAAAGAACCTCTTATTGTTTCAAAACCACAAATTAGTGTAATAAAATAAGATTTTGACTTCGGAAAAATTAGCAGGTCGGGTAACTTTTGAGGACATACTTGTGAGGGTGTTAGGAACAACATATAAAAAGTTACCAACCGTAAAGTGTACGCTTGATTATTTGTTTAACAAATTAGTTGCAAAATTCCATTGTTTATTGTATATCTTAACAAATTCCATTTAAAAAAAAGATTCTAATTGCGCCAATCGAAAGAACGGGAAATTTTACATGAAAAAACTATATAAAGTTATTTTCTAAAATGAAAACTGTAGGTTGTAGAATTTTTTTTAAATCGTACGAAAATGTGAAGAGTCGACACTTGCGCGCAGGACTCTAGGAGCGCGCGGCCTCGCGTGCTGTCCTTGTTATATCTTTTGATCTATTTGATCAAGTTAAGTCCACAAAAATTTAAATGAAAGAGGAATCTTGTAGCTAACAAGTTATCATGATTTTAAAATTGAAAAAAATATTTACAGAAATAGTGTGTAAATAAAGTTATGTAACAGTAGAATTTTCTACAAAATTAATTAAAAATCTGCCATTTTTTAATTTTTAAGATAAAAATCTAAAACTTTCCGAGATTACTCTTGAAATAGCATTTAAAATACTGAGTGATATAAAAAAATCTTAAAATTTTAATTCGAAAAATACAACGCTCCAAATATTCAATAATTTAAAAAAAAGGCAAATTTCATTTTTTAGGTCACGTTTCAAAGTCCATTAACTTCAGTTCAAAATATGATATTGCAACTTTACAAGAGCATTTTTTGAAGGTTGAAAACTGTACTTTAAGATGGTCCATTTTGTTTTATTTAAAATGTTGAATTTATAATAAAATTTAAAGAAAAACAAAAAATTTGTTTTGTTGTTAATAAAGTTAAAAAAAAATTGTTCTTGCTTAAATTTTTGTTACTATAATTCAATAAATTGTCGTGAGATTCAGTTTTATCTATATTTTTTCATGATGAAATTATGTAGTACTCGTAGAAGTTTGTCTCGTAATGTAATTCATTCTTGTGATTCGAGAATTATATTTTTGAATATTAGAAAGAGGTAGAGAGAACATCTTTTCGATGAATGGAGCTCACCTGGCGCATGCTACGTATCTAACGGAGGGAAGGGAGAATGTTGGAAATATAGTGGCTTACTTTCACAGTTTGCCTTGTGAAGTCAAACATATCTACCACGTGTTTTTTTATTCTCGTCTCATTTTTTATTTAAAAAATATTTGCTTACAAAGTTTTAGTAATAATTGTTATTCATAAATAAATAAATGAGTTTCGATACAAATGCTTCGTCAAAGAAACAAGAAAACCAAAAAAAATTAATTTAGCTGCACTTCCACTATCAGAAGATGCAGCTAACCTGCATTTCAAAAGGGTATATTACCAAGTGTAGGTTTGGCTTGACAAAAAATTGCAAGCAGAAGACTGGGGTTGGAAGCGAGAGGATTCGGGTATGACTCCAACTTTTATTACTCAAGATCCAGCACCAAGTGAACTTCTCAAAATGATTTTTTGTCGATGCAAAAGTGGCTGTGCTAATAATTGCCGGAAGGCGGGTCTACTTTGCACCATAGCATGCTCTAATTGTTCCAGAGCTGATTGTCTAAATTGCCAAGCATTTTTCGAAGAAGAACGAGAATCAGACCAATTGCCAGAACTTACAATAATCCAAAAGAAAGGAAATTAAATATTGTTATTTTTTTATATTTCTATTTTTAATATGCAAATGCTTTTTCATATTTAATAAATTTGTTAATTAAGAATTCCATATATTGACTTTATACAGAACCCTAAACATCGTACCTAAATTTCTTTAAAATTTAACGAGTTGATTTCATTTTATATTTATCCAATGATCTGAAAAATCCTAAAAATATCAATATGAGTAAAATTGCTTTGAAAATGTAATTTTAAAATAAATTGTTTAAAAAAGTCGACCATATTGGATCAGCCATTTTGAATTTTCATTTTCTGATATAATATTCTTGTTCAGAGACCTCAAAAACCCCTATAATATCAATTTGATTAAAATTGCTTTGAAAATTGAAATTTTTTAATAAATTGTTTTAAAAAGTCGGCCATATTGGATCAGCCATTTTGTATTTTTATTTTTTAACATTATATTCTTATTCAGTGACCTCGAAAACCCCTATAGTATTAATTTGATTAAAATTGGTTTGAAATTTTGTGATTTATTTAAAATAACACAAGCACACAAAAAAATATAATGTTAAGACCCAGAGGGTAGACCACCCTTCCCCTCCGTTTTTGGAGTCGCTGAAACCGAATATGACCATTAAAAAAAAATTTAACTAGCCATTTCCCCGTTACCACCCCCCTTCTGGGAGTTGAAATGTCAATTCTCATACAATGTCGAGTAGGGTGTGTATTCCTATGTTTTCTGAGCCAGTAGGAACGAAGAAGACTACCAAAAATGAATTAGACCCCCTCGTTACCCCCTAGCATCTCTTTACCACCCCATACACCTCTTTCTGGGGGTTGAAGTGTCAATTTTCATATAAAGTCGAGTGGGTTGTGTATGCCTACGTTTTCTAGGGTGCTGAAAACAAATGTGGGTGGCAAGGGGTGCTGAGGGTTGAGGAGAGGATTGGATTCATTTTCGCTAGTCTTCTTTGTTTTCAGAAGCCTAGAAAATGTAGGCATACACAACCCACTTAACTTTGTTTGAAAATTGACACTTCAACCCCCATAAAGGGGTGTATGGGGTTGGTAAAGTGACACTAGAGGGTAACGAGGAAGTCTAATTCATTTTTGGTAATCTTCTTCATTCTTAGTGGCCCAGAAATCATTTCAACTCCCAGAAGGTGGTGTATCGGGGTGGTAACGGGGAAATCGCTATTTAAAATTTTTTTAGGGTCATATTCGGTTTCAGTGACCCCAAAAACGGAGGGGTAGGGGGGTCTACCCTCTGAGTCTTGACATTATTTTTTTTTCTGTGCCTGTGTAATCTTTGAAAAACCGTTTTTTATTGTTTAAACAATTAAATAATAATTAGCACACAAATATAAGTTTATAACTTTTTTCTATAAGCAATTTCAAGGCGATTGAAAAAGGTTTTATGAAAATCCAAGGCTCTGCTAATTATTCCGAAATAATGCATATTTTTAAGCTACGTTTACTCCACTAAATAGTTTTTGTTCAATAACCCAGGGCTGGCTTTCACAAAATTTCCAGATGCAAACATCAAATTCCCTGAAATTCATGAATATTTTTAAAATTCCCTGACTATTCCCTGTTTTTTATGAAGAATAATAAATTTCCTGACTTTTTCCTGTATTCCCAGTTTTCCAGGCCGCAATGAACCCTGGACTAACTTCTCTTTGGAATATTATTTTAGAGATATGCTCAAAATTTGGAGCGAATAGAATCAATATTGTTGAAGTTATGCTGCGTGCCTTTTCAGAAAATCATGTTTTGGGAAAAACGACTTTAAAGTTTTGAAATGCTTCTGATTGAACATAAGCTCCTTCTAACGACATCTGTTGGTATTAACTATATCGTTAGTAATATTAGAGAAGTTAGAAATCAAAAGGTAAGTCATTAGGCTATACCCCAACAGATATCTTCTATGTGCCCCAGATAGTCGTTTCGGAGCAGTCCGACGTGCTTGGGAAAGAGCTCGGAATTTCAAAGAAAAAAGTTTTGTACAGGCATAAAACTTTTTGCCTCTTATTCTAAAAGGTTCAAAGCATCTTTTAAATCAATAAAAAAAATTGATTTTCTGAAATTGTACAGTGGTCTTACCTCTTAAATCACAATGAGGAAATTATTGCACACCTTCCAATCCAATTAAAATCTGTGATTTTAAATAAGACCCTCCAAATTAATGTATGAGCAATGTACTAAATTTGGCAACTCGATCAACAAAAATTCTAAGTGACTCTTACTTTTAGATATTTCCTTTATAAAGGTATGCACATATTTGGTGGTCATTCTAAATGTCCCTCCAAACATTTACAGTGAAATCAATTATTGACTTCTAATTTATGAGTTTTAGACAGGCGCGGCGGTAGCCGAAGCGGCCAAGGCTTGCCTACAGAGGCGAGCCAGGGCTGTGTGGCAAAATCGTAGTGGGTTCGAATCCCGCACGCGGCAGGAAAATTCTTTCGAATTTTCCTGTCGTACCATGGATGTTTGTGATTGTTAAGGTGGAGGGTAGTGTAAGTTAGCAGGCAAAAAGGGCCAAGCATGGCCTAATTGCTGGTAAGCTTCATTATCTTTACCTTATCTTTATGAGTTTTAGACTGTTCTAATTTAATTTGATTTTTTTGTCGTAATGGGACGTTGAATAAGTTCTCGCTGTTTTTCAACAAATAGCGTTACCAGAACTATAAGCGTGTAGTTTAAGATTGTAACGCACCTATAAAGAAGCACTGTAAGCACGCTTGAAATTCAATGTATCTTATTTTGGCAAAGTGTAAACTACTTTTTTTTAGAATGTTAAACATAACTGTGCTCTGTCGCAAAAAACATGCAGAAATTGATTTAGACACTTCAAAAATAATTAATTTGATATTGAAGATAAAGAACGCTCTAGCGCATCAAAACAATTTGAAGATGAGGAATTGGAGGCATTCATGAAAACTCATGCCAGACGCTAGTTGAACTTGCGAGTCATTAGGAGTTAATCAAACGACAGTTTCGAAAGCATTAAGAATAATTCAAAACAAAGCCATTGGGTGCTGTACGTGGGCAAAGCTGAATATCCATGGTTTCAAGCTTCTGCTCTGCATTTGGTGCAATCAGTTGGGCGTAGTTTATTATGAGCTGATGAAACAGAATGAAACCATCACGGGAGATCGTTATCAACACAATTGATACGTTTGAGCCGAGCATTGAAGGAAAAACGGCAGCTGTAAGAGCAGAGACATGACACAGCACTTTTGCAGCATGACAAGGCTAGGTCGCATGTAGGAGATGACAACCTACTTAAATGGGAAGTCCTGCCCCACCCGCCGTATTCACTCCTTCTGACTATCACTTGTTCCAATCGATGGCACATGGCCTCGCTGAGCACACTTCCATTCTTATGGATGCCAAAAAATGGGTCGACTTTTGGATAGCCTCAAAAGACGTGTCGTTTTTCCAACATGGAATTAAAATACTACCAGAAAGACAAGCTAGTGATGGACAATACTTTCAGTGACATTTTTTTACTAATTTTTTAAAAATATAGTAGTAATTTTCTCGAAAAAAATAGCGAGAACTTATTCAACATTCCATTACATAAAATAAAAAATAAATTGCTATTTATGTAACAAATATGCAAATAAATCTGTATTTTTGCCTTAGCCGAGTCTTGAATAACTATAGTAGGATCGTATTCGATGCAAAGTAGAGCAAAAAATTGTCGGTCTTTTATCAAAGGAAAAACGTGTCACCATTTTTAAGACGCGTAAAATGAATCATTTCAAATTTAAAATGAAATTGAATGTAAAATCTGAAATACCGCATGATACACATTGTGTTTTGGTAGTAGATGTAGTCGCCCAGGTGCATCGAGTGTATGAAGTGATCGGTTATACGTCAAATACTAATCTGGCGAGCTTGGTCATAAATCAGAGACCATCTCCAAAAAAACAAGTAAACGACAGTAGCACGTACAGACGTAAAATGTAGTACATATGTTGAGTTTAAAAAACAAACTGGATTTATAATAAATTACATTTAAAATAAGTAGTTTATGAGAATAAAGGAATTTTTGAAGGAACAGGGGTGCCAGACTTGGACTGATCCCTTCATCCTTTCATAATGCATAAAGAAATTATTCAATTTCTAAACCCCTTAAAACCGTACTGTACTGGATCCCTTGACAGGCAATGATTTATTACTTTCCATCGAATATGATTCTACTATAGGTAAACCCATCAAAACATTTTGCACTGTTATACAAATTATTTCAATACGAGCTCCACATATTTCTAAAACGCAAAATATTAGATCATTCAGCATCCCTTAAAATGTCTTATCACCAAGTTTCATCAAATCCGATACATCTTCAAACGAGCACTAGTTGGCTGTGTATTGCATTAATAAAAAACAGTAGTATCACAGTCAGATACAGTTTTTTTTAACCTACATTTCATAGAAAAAATTTTTTAAATCCAAAAAATAAAGAAGTTACAGGCTTGTATTACATTTCGCAACATCATGGAGTGCTCGCCTGAAGATATATCGATTTTGATGAAACTTAGTAGTAAGATGTTTTAAGGGATGCTGAATGAGAATACATAATCTGTTTTTTGGAAAAAAAATCGCTAAAACCAATCAGCTGTTTTGATGTCAAGAAAACTCGTCCTAGTTGGTCGTGAATTGCATTAATAAAAACAGCAGTATCACAGTTAGATAGATTTTTTTTTACCCTACATTCCCAAATAAAAATTTTTGAAATCGGCCAAAAAATAAAGAAGTTACAGGCTTCTATCATATTTATGCGCGACACCCTGTATATGCATGTCAAATTGCAATCTTTACTATGCTTATGGAACGTATAAATTTAAAATGTATCTTTTAGCTTCGACGAAAACACCAATGGCAACGTTAAGTAGTACATCCTGTACACATGAATGTAAAAAGGTGGTTGCAAATAGCGAGATTTATTGTTAATTAAGAGTAAAATTATTTATCATTTATTTTACCTTTTGCAGCAATTCTGTGCTCTCCGACATGAGTCATCTCCCTATCCGGACGTTCTTCAATTACAATATGATCACCACTAGGTATGGACAAATCCACAGAAGTAAATGGTGCAGCTATATAAAACGGCACCCCATGGTGCTTTGCCAGAACAGCAATCTGATACGTTCCGATTTTGTTTGCTGTATCTCCATTTGCAGCAATCTGTAATTCAAAAATTGTATGGGTTACCTAAATCTCCATCTCAATACTGAAGTTCAATCACGCATTAGAGAGCTTTGTCTGTAAGTGGGTACAGATTGGAATATGGAATTTAAAATGATGTTAAAACATTCATTATATTTTAATACGTATGTAAAACCCGAAATACAGATAATTTTACTTTATCTAAAAAATGTCATTAGCCATGAAATATTAATAGCTAATATTTAAATTATGGACGGTTAGGTTAAAGTTGCCATTTTAGTATGGTGATGATAAATAAATTATTAAGTATTAAGTAAGTATTAAATTAAGTTATAATTATTAAACCAAGACTAAATATATGAAAACCTATTTTAAGAAAAGAAAAATATGTGATATGAATAAATTATAAATTGAAAATGCTAACACAGGCTATAACGGATATCAAAAAAATATACAAAAATCATTTACTTCATTTGAACATCATGTTAATAAATGAAAGTATTGTTAAATTGAAAGTTGCAACTTTCATACATTTTAAAATTATGAAAATATGTAATTTGACAATAATATATGGTACATTAATGACAAATTTACAGAAATTAACTAAAAAATTTTATTTAATAACTAATTTAAAGTAATTTTTTTATTTTTACTTGAGAATAGCAGGTACTCAATAGATGTTAGAAACATATTTATAAAAAAACTTTGAACTTTTATAAAGCATTAATAAAATATTCTAAATAAATATTTTTTATCTGGGTCAAAAGCCAGTGTTAATCATTTTTTGATATGCTTTTTGTAGTAATTTTCTGTATTTTAATAAAAAAATAAAGCTGAACTTATTCTTCTGGAAGTTCTTGCTGCAGAAAAGAGCAAAATCACCTGGTCCCTCACAGGTATACGTGTATTTAGATTTATAATATTAGTATTCACATGAAAGATTTACTGTTATATACCTTCAATCCTTTCTACCAGTGTGACACATCATTTTAGCACACACCGTCCAGGTGGAAGTGTTTTCCTTAAAAATTTGTTAAGTGCAATATTTTGAAAGTTTGAATGGTGTGAAAAGTATTATTATTTTTTTAATAAAAGAATTCAAAAACTGAAAAGAGTTTTAGTTTATTTAACTTTAATGGTATGGTACGGTAAGTTTTACACTAACTTTATAATTACAAAATACAGGTAAAATCTCTATTTATTACCAGTAAGTGAAAAATAGAATGTACTGACAAGACTAGATAGGTACCTAGTTTAATGTCAAAATTTTTAAATGCCACTTGTAAAAATTATACAGAATGTTTCAAAAAACATGTTATTGCTCGCAATAATATTTCCCATCCAAACAGAATCCAAAAAATTCCTATCAACATGAGTTCGTTCTTATTTCATTTCTGAATTACATATGCCTTTAGTATCCTTACAATATTTTTCCCGACAAAAGGAATGGGCACAAATCCGGTATTTTACATAAAAATGGGTTTTTTTGCAAAAACTACGCAACTTAGGTATTAAAAAGCTATTAAAAAATTGTATGGTCTACAGAAAGGCATCTAATGAAATCATAAAACACAGTCGAGATTTTTTAAATTTTAAATTATCAGGTTTGGCACGTTTTTTTTTGCCCCCTGTATATCGCAGGTCAACTTTTGATACGATTTTTGAAAGAGCCATCTTCACTCTATAGTTACTGAAAAAAAATAATTCCTAGCTGTCATACAATCATAATTATGTCAACTACTAGAAGTGACGAAACATAGGAAAAAAAATGAAAAGTCGATTATATCGAAAACTAATATTTTAATATGGTTCATAACACAAAGTCCCGTTAATTTTTCACGTAGAATTCGATTATGCCATAAAAAATATAGGTTTCCATTTAAAAAAATTAAGTTGGTACCTGCCTAAGAAAAACTGAACACCCTGTATATGCAAATATATTTTAATTTTGTGCAGCTCGGGAAAGTAGGCAACTCTGTAGAAAAAAAAATTAAGATATCTTTTATTAACCTAAGTATTGGACTTCGCGCAGTAGGTGGACACAGTGTATACTTACGATATACAGACAAATTCAGTTCAAGTTTTGCCAGTACATTGAAACGAATAATTTTCGTTTTAAAATGTAGCCCCAGTTTAAATACTGTATTAAAAAAATAAAAAATAAAGTATCTGTAATAAAGGTAATAACCCATTTGTACATTAAACGTTACATTATGTTGGCTTCTTTTAGTATTTTGGAGTTAGAAATCCCAACACATAACTTCAGATACAGTTTTTAATCGACTAAATATGTAAGTAAAAACATTTGATTATAACAAATTAGGAAACTGTAGCACAATCAATTAGTTATTACAGTTTACTTAACTAACAAATATGTAAGTGTAAACCTAATAAATAAATATTGGCCCTAACCAAAACTTTTGAATTGCAGTTAATGCCATGGCATAACATAAAAAATAATTAATGCCTCTCTTTGAAATTATACCTAAATTTAGACATGTGCATTATGGGTCGGGAACCTGAAAAAGTGATCAAAATACTAAAAGTGCTCCAATTGCCATGAAATGTTGAAATTTCGAATCCGTACTCAAAATTTAGAAATTCAAAATGATGGATACAATGTAGTGGACAAATATGCTAAAGATGCTCCGATTTTGCTGAAGTTTGTTACTGAAAGGTTTTTTGGGTCCCTAATTTCGAATCCGTACTCAAAATTCAGAAATTCTAAATGGCGGATCCAATACGATGACTATAAAATTACAAAATCAGATTATGTAATTGAAACGCATGCAGTTCTACAATGCAGTTATACAAAATCTGTAGTTACCAGGGCTTACCACGAGGAGGTTGCAGTGCAGACCCCTTAATTATCATATCAGTAATTCGGGGTGCTTTATTAGAGTGGGTCCCCTTGCCTCTCACTACTCAGGGTGCTTTATTGAAGTGAGTCCACTTGCCTCTCATTAGCACACCCTAAAGTATTTTTCAGAATTTTTTCAGGTTTTTTCGCAGCGTACTTTTTTATTAAAATTAATAGATATTACTAACAATAAGTATAAATTATTAGAAAAAAAATAGAAAAATCGATTTTTTTCTGCTGTAAATACAAATAAGTAGTTAAAATATTTCTTATAATAGTGTCCTGAGGGGTTTTTTTAATCGTAATCAGCAACCCGAAAAACCCCCGAGCACTAATTTTCATGAAAACAAAAAATTTTTCTGAAGTATTGGCCCGCCATATTGGACCAACCATTTTGAAATTTACAATTTTTACTTCTGATTCATAATCAGTGACTCGAATAACCCCCCCGGTAGGTACTGATTTTCATGAAAATTAAAAACTTTTTTTTAATTATTGGCCCGCCATTTTGAATTTTACAATTCTGGCTTCTGATCAGTGACCTCAAAAATACTTAGATGCTACATTAAAAAAAAGTTCCATCAAGAAATAAAATGTATGGCTCAAAGAGTTAACCTTTTTCACGCGCACTGTCACAGTTTATTATAAAATTCTTCGAATTATGTAAATATTCGCAAAAGTTCGCCGATTTTTCTTAAAGTACACACTCTAAGGCATCCAATGATACATCGCTCCTTTTGATAAGTAGTGGAGTTTAGGAGAGTTCTGTTTCCAAAGTATGGTCAAAGCACTAATATGTATATGAGAGTATAACGTTCCGCCATTTTCTCTGTTTTTCATTTTTGTACTTTGCACCCTATTTCAATGATTTATCGAAGTAAAATGATGGATGAGATGCAATAGCAGACTTTTGAATTGTTGAAATACAACAGTACCAATAAAATATTTGAAAAGTAAAATCGCTGGTTTCATACATGATTTTAAAAGTTTAAGTCATTGCCACATCGAGAATAGTCAGTCAAATTCAATGTAACTTTAAAAATAACTAGTTTAGCTTATCTAGATAACGACAAGACATTTGTTTGAACTCATTTCTGCAGTCGCTTTTTGGCCACTTTTTCAGTTTCCTGGCCCATAGTGATGTGTCTGGAACTGGGACCTGTTTACTGGATGTTCTAAGAAATACGCAGAAACTGCAAAATAATTGAAAAATTTCCAGAAGTGCTCAAAACTTAGAAAACTCAAAAATAGAATTTTCAACCGATTGAGAAGATTTTGATTTCATTTGATGTAAAATAGTCCCCTCTAAGTTTCAACTTTGCAAACACAAAATCGAGTTTTCAAGATTGAACTGACATTAAATTTAGGAAAATAGACAGAAGAACCTTATCCACTGCAGCAAAGTAGCTCTACCGCTGTGCGTTAGAAATAAAAAAAATTCTTTTATGAGATTATTGCAGTTATTATTATTAAAAAATATATTTATTTTTGGTAATGCATCTTTAACACCAAAGCATTTTCAGAACTATGTTCATAGGAAACTCTTCGGGCAATAATGTTTTCTATCTCCTACTTTAGTTTGGCATAATATTTTAGTAATATCTGTATATTACCTAACTGATAATATATTTGCCTTATAATTAGACATTTATATTATATATTATTTATCTCGTTATTTATATACATATGGGAACTAAATAAAAAATTACTTTTTATTTAGCCCCTACACAAGGAACTAAAAAAATTTAAATTGTTGTGTTATGTCAACACACAAAAATTTCAATTAATAATAAATATTAAATGATTTTCAAAAATTAATAACTAAATAGGACTAACTCAAATAATAATAAATTTATTATTAGACCATGCCAAGTGAAAATCTAAAACTATGAAAAATTAAGAAAAACTAGAAAAAGTTAATAGGTATACGTTATACGTGTTGACAATGTAGGGGTTAAATTAACATATAAGTACTAGTGGTTATGCAGAAGTTTACTTTTTATGTGTCGTACAATAAAGTTTCTTTCTACAGAAAAAAAAAATCAATCTAAATAATTTTAAAGCTACCAGTCCTGAAACCTTAGGTGGATATGGCCGCTTGCTCGTCGCATTCAATGCACCACTACTAACAATTTACACACAAAAGTTGACATACAGTGCAACTGATTCACAGACTATTATACTTACTTGTTTAACATTTATTGTTGTTATTTTTAAATTTGTATTATCATTAGATTAATGCTGGTTTTGTTTGTTTTATGTTTTATGTAAAAATCAAATAAACATAATAAAATTAACTTTTAACTTTCCATTAATCGGATCTAATTATGTTGTAATAATAATTGACAAATTTCTCTAGTAATAGTAACTTTCTATAAAATATTGTTATATTAATATTTTATTATAAATATGCACATTATATTTTTTCTTTTAAAACAAGCAAAATTACTATCAATCAAAACCAACTTATAGCACATATATCAACCAACAACTTATTATAGAATGCAACCATTCATTGACATTTTTATGAGTTTTCTTAATAGGGTTGTTATAGTAAATAGCATAATTACTATTTTAATTTATCATATTTCATTGGAAAACTATTTAAATGTAAACATACTGAATTTAATTGAAAGAGAACTCCAATACAAATATCACAGTCTACTAACAAATTGTACACTGGAATTAAATGTACATTATCAGAATCATAGAATCGATTGTCTTTACAGTTGCTAGAGAAACATTCATTTGAGTAAACTTCAACAATCTACATCATAAATTGCGTTTTTTTTGCACAAAATGATTGAAACTCAAAAGTAACGAGTGATAAATATTTTAGAATTAGATCTTTTGGAGTAGATGATAAAAAACAATGCGAAATTATCCTATTTCCATCAAATTTGGTCTGAATTTTTCTTTTCATTGAGAAATTTTTTATTAGTATCATTAAAATGAATTTAAAATTGACATTATGTAGAACTCCATTCGTATCTTCATAATTCTTTATCACTTTATGTTTCATTAAATGAACAAAGATCTCCCAGTTCTTAGAGGATAAAGAAAGGGTCAAAAAAATAAAATTAAAGTTGAAATTGTTATTTCTTACCCTATCTGCTCCAACAACGACTGCAGTAATATTCCTATGCTTCAAAACTGCAGCTACCATACTATCCACAATTAACGTTGCAGGAATTTTGTCATGGACAAGTTCATAAGCAGTTAAACGTGCCCCCTGATTGTATGGTCTCGTTTCAGTGCAATAAACATGTTCTGTAAAATATTTTTTTATATTCTTCTTCAGTCCTTACCAAACATTTTTTCAACAAATTCTTTAAAAAAACGGAATTACCTAATCTCTTCATTCCATGAAGAGTTCGAATGACTCCTAAAGCTGTTCCATAGTTTGCAGTAGCTAAAGAACCCGTGTTACAGTGAGTTAAAATTCTAACAAGACTATCCCCAGAAACTCGAGATAAAACTTCTTTAGCACCATAATCCCCGATCGCTTTATTATCAGCTATGTCTTTGGCTAGCATATCTTCTATAGTTTTTAGGAACCTACAATTTTTTTTATTATAAGAAGCCACATTTAACTAAGTAATATTTTTATTCATAATTTTCTTCAAAGAGCAGGAAACTATGAGTAGCAGTATTTAAACAATGTTACAAAAACTCAACTAAAAGTTACAGTTATACCCAAACTAATTTGATCAGGTTCTAGCTGCCAAGCAAGTCCAGGTAAGAGTTGAATAAAACCGAATTCATATTGGTTAGTTTAATTTATAAAATAAAAATCCTGTTACCATTGAACATATCATTCATGTAGGTACAAAATTTAAAATAGTGCAACAAAATTGTAGGGATTCTAGCTACTTTTATAGAGATTTGTTTATTGCCAACCTAGCTGTTGTTGGCTGTTGTTAGTAACACCGTTGAAGCCACTATTAAAGCTATACAACAATTTACTTTTAAATGTTCAACCATTGCAATTGAATAAAAAATAATAGAGAAATTTTAATTTAGGTGCTGTAATAAACATAGAAGAAACTATACTTATTATTCTACCAGTTCAGACACAGATAAATCCGCGCGGATCACCTATCCTATTCAAATTTCTCAAATTGGAATTTTGAGTAGGTAATCTAATCAGTAATTGATATATACTTGACACCTCTGTTAAGTGTCACAAATAGTATTTTTTTCATGGCATCTAATAGCTGTTTTACATTGACAATTTATTGATCAGTTAATTCATGAAGTCGCTTCATCAAGAAATTGGACAAGTGTAATGCACCAAATCTGCTGTCAAATAACTTCATGAATTTATTCGTCAAGTTCTTGACGAATTAGAACATGTTCTAATTTTCGTCAATTTCTTCGTGAAGTTCGGAAGTATCAACCCAATAGATTTCCAGCCTCAGATCAGTAATGAGGTTATGTTACTGGAATAATTGTGTGGTGTCGTACTAGTTTTGCATTGTTTTTACTGTTGTGTTACTTACAAAAACTAATATTTATATAATATGTGTCAGAACGGTATCGCTGTTGCATCACTACAATTATGCGTAGAAAGGCGACATTTTTGAAATTTATTTGCTTCTTTGATTCATTGGTAGAACTGATTCATACGTCAAAAAACTTGACAAAGTCTGTAGCAGTGTAAAACCACACTGTTTACCAATAAATTCATGAATTAATTCATGAAGAACTTTATCAATTTATTCATGAATAAATTGTCAATGTAAAACAGCTATTAGAGTACCTCTTTTATGCAAAATATGATAAATTTTTATAATTTATGTTTGGTTCGGGAACTAGAAAAAATTGCATACAAAAAAAAATTGTAAAATTTATCCTATGATCCCGCATTTTCTTACACCCCCCTAACAAATTTTGATTTGTATATTATACCAATTATTAAGCATACAAATAGTAATACAACCCCAAAATTTCGCAATTTAATATTAAATTGTTTCGAAGTTATGCAGTAAAAACTATTTCCCAAGTTACCCTTTCAAGGAGCCGTATTTCCCTTAAGGGCTGCCAGTGACAGAAACTCTACTAAGGTTTTCATCATATTTCGACATGTTTTACACACTCTTAAATTTTGAGTACTTATTTTATTAACACCTTGTATATGTATTGGTAGTGACTGACTCTTCACAAAATATCAGCTCCCTAAGTCCATGAAGAGAAAACACATATTTAGGTTTTTGTCTCATTTGGCTTGTCATTCTTCCAAAGTTATGCTACCAAGTTTAGGGACATCTTGTATAATATATTTTTTTTAAATATGTAGCATAATTTTGCAGAGAAAACACTTAGATAATAAATTCAACAAAACTGTCAGGATAGCAAGACAGTTATTACAATTTCTCATGTACCTACTATTTCTTCTCAGTAGTCAAATTTATCTTGCAAAAAAATTGACAAAATGATAATTTTTTATAGACATGATAAATCACTTTCGATGATGTAACAATATAATAATAATATGTTGCTAAGATTGTAATACAGAGACTTATTTTTTAATCATAAAAATAAGTTAATATAAATAAGTAATTTACTTAAAACATTACAAGATAATTAATTATCTATAATTGTTTAGAGATCAAACCTATTCCTTCATTAAAAAAAGATGTTGCATTTATAAAACTTTAAATTACAAATATAGCTAGTAATTAAATAATAAAATAAACTAAAACAATAAGTAGGTAGTATCTCACTTTAATGTAAAATAAAATTTTAATCCAGTCATATTAAATCTCAACACTACAAGATCAAGACAAGGATTTAGGAACTGTAACAATTTTCAGTTATCAATTACTTAGTTATCTTTATGTATTCTAGCTTTCCCTCAGTTGTCAAGTCATTGTTGGAATTTCGCCATATAAGTATTTGTGCGTATACACATTTTAATAAATGACGATATTCCACCATAAAATTAAGTAATGAAAATTGTACACCTGTTACTTTAAAAATTAAATATCAATTTGAAATTTCTGTTTCCAACAAGCAGCCCATTTAAATATTTTGTGAAGAAATTTCAAGTGAGACTATATCAAACATAGCGTAACATTAGAAAGAATATATAACAGCTTTGGTACAAGTACCACTAAGAATACCTTAGTGTCAAGCTTTTTGCTTAAGGTTGAACACTTACTTTGATTTCATTTCATCCAGCGTAACAGCCTCATCTTTACTCAATTGATTAGCTAAGTCAATCAATTCTTCCGCAGCTATTTTCATATTAACGGCTGTAGGTCTCGAGGAAACCAAATAATTTAATTTTCCTTCGATTTCTTGTCTCATTTGTTTCTTAGATTCAAATTTCTCAGCCTTTAATTCCACAGCCAAACTTAGACATCCTACAATGGCTATCGCTGGTGCTCCTCTAACCTAAATATTAATCGGTAGTCTTCCCAAAATCTTCCATATTTCACCTTCAACATTAACCTTACCTGCATCTTATTAATGACCTTCCAACCATCTTCAACACCTTTAACTTGAATATATTTAGACTGAACCGGTAAAAGAAGTTGATCCAAAATTTCTAATGAGTTATTTTCATATTTTATTGCCCTCAAAGACATCTTCAACGTCACTTTTTATTTTTATGTCTGCCTAAAATCGTAAATATATCACACTTCATTCATATATAAAATGTTACTCATGTTATACATATATTATGTATTAATTCAAGACTTATGTACTCGCAGATTGTACTCGTAATTAAATTAACAGGATGTTTAAGTTGTTTCTTGCGTTCTTCCGCTAGATCAAAATTGGTTAAAAATTTAATTTAAAATGAAAACGAAAACTGTCAATTTGATTTTGGTACCGGAATGTGGAGAGATTATGTCGTACAATTAATTTATATTTAAAATAAATGATATTGATGTTTTAATTAATAAACACTACATTACAATAATATTAACGAAAGCTTAATTTGCACAATTAGTTAATTGACTAAAAAGTAAAAATAAGTTATTTTTAGGTTAGGTCATCTAAATAGGTAGTTCTATAAATACCTAATATTTCTGGAGTATGGATTTCAATAGGTAAAAGTTAAAATTTTGTGGATATTAACAGTTTAAAATGGTAAGTAAATTAGTTTTATATAATGCTTTATTCAATAAAACATATTTTAGGCTCTTCTTGGAGCACAGCTAGTCATAACTCTTATTATGATAAGTATTATACAAAAACTAGGACCCCATTATTCTTTAGCTAGATGGCTGTTATGTTCTACAGGGCTTATTAGGTACTTGTACCCCACAGACAATGAATTACGTCAATTAGCTAATATCCCAAAAGAAAAATCGAAAACTAAGAAAAGCAATAAACTACAATCTAATGGAAAGAATAATGTAGAGACATTTCATTTTCCAAGATCATTAGATGTAAAATTGGAGACTGCCAAAGTAACAAATTTGGATATAATTCATTTACGGTTTTATTTGGAATATCAATGGCTGGTAGATTTTTCCATTTATGCTGCAATTGTATATACAGCAACAGAGGTAAATATGTAGTTTAAAAGTACTTATACAATGTACATGCTGTAAGAATACAAAGCGAAAGAGTGTACCTGTTTAAGAGTTTAACATGTGGTTTAATCATTTAATATATTTAATTATTAGATCTATGGGTTTAAAGCTGTTATTTGTCATGCTATGGGCCAATTTTTGTCAACTGCATTGTACCCAAAAAATATTTTTCCTCAATTTTCTAAAGTATAATATGTTTACTATTCATGACCTGTGAGCAATGTGTAAATAATTATAAATAGTAATGGCTTAAAAACGCAAATAATGTTACTCTTCGCACTAGTTAATAAAAAAACTAATCTTTACTATGAGTTTTACTCTTCTAAACAGTCTGTTTCTATTTTGAATAAATAAATTTTCCAATACCCAAATTGCTTTCCAAAAGCTGGCATTTATAATAATGAATTTCATATTGTTATTAGCTGATTTTGAATTACAATAATGCCTTATTTAACCGATACTCGATTATCTGATTCTCCATATTATCCAGGCATTGTTTTAACAAGGCCATTGTGTTCTTATTAACCGACTTTGTCATTTGTCCAGAAATAGACATTCTTATGGGGGCTGATAAACAAGGTTATACTATACTTTAATTTTAGGTTTACCAGATGTGGTTTCCTTTAAAAGATGAAGTCAATCTCAGTATGATATGGTGCTTTCTTGTAATATTATTTGCATTGTATCCTTTATGTGAGCCTAGTTTATTAGTGTTTTTTATAATAAATTCAAATTCTCATACGCATATATCCTTAATCTTCTAACAGAAAACTTTTATTTGGCTTGACAATACAGTATTTTCAAGGAGAAGAATCTGTGGGTGAAAGATCCACGTGCATTGTTATGGGATTTTTATATCTAGTTATCTCTATGATAGTACTAATCATTGATGAAAATGTTCTTGAAATTGGTTTAGAAAATGCCTATAATAGCTTTAATGAAAGTGCTTCTGCTTTTTTAGCAAAACAAGAACTATCTTCAGTGTAAGTAGAAAAATTCCATTTCCAGGTTTATTACATACAAACGATTTTAGGGGCCCTGCATCCAAAATAGTACTAAAATTTTTTATAGCAGTATGGTGTGGCATATTAGGAGCTTTGTTCACTTTTCCTGGACTGAGGATAGCCCGAATGCATTGGGACCTTCTGAAGTAAACTTCTATTTTTAAATTAATAATTTAGAATTTAAATCGAATGAATTCATCTACTATGAATTCATTTACTATTTGCATTTGTTAAATTGAAATTTATGTATATCAAAATCTTTAAAGTGTAAAATCTCAGTTCAATTTTTTTTAGATATTTTAAAGAGGATAAAGTAAAACAGATTTTACTAAATCTAGCATTCGCGTTACCTTTTATCTTAGTAATTCTGTGGATAAAACCAGTTTCAAGGAATTATCTAACAGAGAGAATATTTGCTGGAAAAACTGCACCATTGTAAGTATAAATAATATGGGTAGTGGGGTGGCCCAAAAAAAAAAACGATTATTTGTTTTCGTGTCTTGTGAAAATATGTTAGTTTATCATGTTTTAAGAGCCCCCTCAAAAAATTTGCTCAAAAAAAATTTTATTGAAGTCGCTCAATATTTTTAAAAATTTCCAAAATCGTCAAAAATTGAATTTTTTTTTTATTTTTTTTTCTCGTTATTTTATCATTTTCTAGGTTATAAAAAATTTCGATTCTGAAAATTTCAAATCGATATATTAATTTCTAAAGGCCACTTAAGGAGGTTTATCGGGTACGGAGGTACGTCTAAAAGTCTAACGAGAGTTTCTGTACATTTGCTGGTGACTAAAGTAGTAAGCCTTTAGATTTGGCAACGTTGCACTTGGCTGGCTTTATTTGGATGCCTAAGCTTGAAATATACACCATATGTCACACCTGCGAATTTCAAATAATATGCTACGTCGAGAACCTCGGCGTTGCCGTTATCACGCTTATATGAACGTTAAGTTAATCAACAACAGCAGTTTGAAGGAGAATTATTATAAATTATGTATCTTACAAGTACCTAATCGATTTCTACGAGCTGTCATATGCTTCCTTAGATATCGGTTTCCTATTTATACAAGTTGCTGTAAAAACTGTTTGTCAATTGCTGCACATTCTAAGTGGAAAGACAAACAAAATCTGCATTCTCATAAGACTGTACTAAAATCGTGAAAAATTATTTTATTAATATCTCGTCTCTTAGGTATCCAAACTAGTCATAATTTTTTTGTGGATTTTCTTCATATTAATAAGCTTATATTAATTTTTTTATGAATATTTGTTCGTCAATTTCAAATCAGATAAACCTCCTTAAAACATGATATACTAACATATTTTCACAAGAGACACGAAAAAAAAATATCATTTTTTTTTTTGGGCCATCCTAATGTAGGTACCTACCTATTTATATTTTGTTATAGTATAATTCTTTTTTTGATGAATAATAGCATTTAACAGAAATTTTAAGGATGTCTTCTTAATATAAATAACATGCATAATGCATAAAACAAATCTCTGTACATTTTAAAATTATTTTGTCGTTACAGACATTACGTAATTTTTTCAAGCACTCTATATTATTGCATTTTTTTCATTCCTATTGTATTTAAAAATACTTTGATAAATAAATGTTAAGTCCGGTCAACAAGGATATGGATTATCAAAACCACTACTGTATTTTTTGATAACATGACACGTGTATAATGTATAATAATTTGTATTAAATACAATTATTAACTATAAAACATTTAAGATATATATATTTCATTCAGAGAAGGCCTGATTACAGCAAAAAAGCAATGGAACATTGCAGATTATTCGAATAAAATATATTTTTTAATAAAACTACATCCTGTATCTGAAAATGTAAATATTTTTTGGCAAGAATATATTTATTAAATATCATTGTTTCTTGATAATTTACCTGTTATTAAGGAAAGTTTGGAAGAAATTAATCATCCTGTACTTTTTAAATTACTACATTGTGAGTTTCCTTTTTCATTCTGAAAGTAAATCTCACTACAAAAATTAGAGTATGAAAGTATATACCGATGAATTTGCATATAATGTTAGTCTTGCTCATAGAAAGACTAACCAAAAAAAAGATTTGTCAATAATCTTAGTAAGATATTCTAAAAGGAGACAGCGATATATGGTACTAAATAGTGATAACAATAATAAGTACCATCTCGGAATTAGAGATAGATCTCACTGAAAAGTAAATTTACTTCAAGACTTTCATGTGTAATATCCGTTTTTAGATTGGCAGAGTCATCATTTGATTCCTTACGAGTGATAGCAATCGTGGCAACTATGTGTCTCAAAATAATCTTGATGCCGTGGTACCTGCAGGCGTATTTAGATATGGCATATCACAGAGTTGAGGACCAAAAGAAAGAAGCAGGTCGGATAACTAATATTGAATTTCAAAAGAAGGTATGTTTCGTAAAAGTAAAGGGAAAAACCAACCAACCGTGTTTCCAACCATAACACAATTCTTTTATCGTTAGTGAAATTTGCTTTCCTAAGCAATGTAATACGACATAATTTCATGAAAATATAGTAGCTTTTCTACTTTTTTTTGTAAACCACCCAGTTTTTAGTAAATCATAACAAAGGTAAAAAATAAGAGAATAGGAATAAAATAATTAGGTTCATTATTGTTTTAGACTTATTTTTTTATATCTAAAAATTGAAAACCATTCAAATTTATTAATTCTGATAAAAGTTATTTAATATTTACATTTCTTTGATTGTGGATTAATGATACCTTTCTTTAACATTTACAGCTACTGTAAGCTATACAAACGTTGCATACAGTATCACTCAGATTTACTTAAAATGTCACAAAAAAGGAAATATAAATGTTTATATAAACGTTATGCTTATATCTTGTGATATTTCTATCATTATAAATTTACAGCACTATAAGAAAATTACAGAACACTTGATGTTATTTTCATAGCGCAACGCTATGAAAATAACATCATGCCGTTGTACTAGGCGTAGGCGCTATAGCCAGTGCGCATGATAGAAAGTAATTAAATATACTGACTGTGAATTAATTTTGAGGAATTTACAGTAGATGGTGTAACGTATGCTATATCACATCGGACACTTCTGCAACTACATTCATGTCAACATATTCTTTCTCAGCTCCAAATATGTCGAATTACGAGCCAACAAAACACCATTTGCAGGAAGTTTTACTTTTCCTGTTTAATTGAAAGAAAAGTACTGCTGAAAGTTATCAGGAACTTTTGGATACTTACGGTGAATACATTCCGTCGATAAAAGCGTGTGAGTATTGGTTTCGACGTTACAGAAGTGGTGAATTCGAGACAATTGACAAAGAATACCCGGTCAACCGAAAAATTTTGAATATGAAGAATTGGAAGCATTACTCGAACAAGTTTCATGCCAAATACAAAATGAACTTGCTAAATTGTTGAATCTTGATCGCAAAACAGTTTTTTTCACATATGAACAATTGCTTCAACGACAAAAAATAAAGGGTTTCTTGCATCGTATCATCACTGACGATGAAAAATGGATACACTATGATAATCCAAAGCATAGAAAATCGTGGGGTTTGCCGGGTTATGCATCAACATCGACGGCAAAAGTGAATATTCATAGTTCAAAGCTCATGCTCTGTATTTGCTGGGACCGGCTTGATGAGGCTGAAACTAGCGGCCAGACTTATCAGCAAGAACGTCACAATACCGCATATAAAATTTTGATTATTTAAAACGGGAAAAATGGTATTATACGCTTAAAAATAATCATAAAATAGTATAGGGACCAATGTTTATGCAAATTATGAACTTGAATTACATTTACACCTTATTTTGTGCAATAATAATGTTGTCCAACCTTTTTAGAAAAGAAAAGTTATACCTCTTTTCCTACCGCGATTTGGTCTGCCAAAAAAGTGTGGACGTGTTAAATTCATCTCTTATGATTATGATCAACTAAAGTCTACACTTTTTTGGCGAATCAATTTGTGATAGGAAAAGAGGTATAACTTTGCTTTTCTAAAGAAGTAAGACAACAATAAGGCCTTGAATTTACAAAAAAATCTTAATTCACAGTCCATGTATATAATTCTTATCTGCAATGAAAATTGAAATTTATGTTAACAATAGGTGATAAACAACTTCCTTTTAATTTCATATCTTAAAAATTTTCAGATAGCAGCCGTCTTCTATTACCTCTGCGCCGTGACACTGCAGTATGTAGCACCGATTATTATATGTATCTATTTATCATTGATGTATAAAACTTTGGGAGGGTACACGTGGAGTGGTTCAATAAACGATGCTAATTTGGACGAATGTCCAATGAATAGTGAAAATAATCAACCTAGTATAGACCCCTTTCAAACATCAGATGATGCGGGAACAATTACAAAGACAGCAGCAGATTTTCATCTTACCCTGGAAAATTTGAAAATGGTATATGAATAAAATAAAAAGTTTTATTTAGGAGTACCAAAATTGCCTACTATTTTTTGGGGGATATCTTTATTATACTAGTTGTAATATATTTTATGTTTTCAGGTTTTTACAACCAGCGTTTATAGAGGGTTATTTGGATTTTCTACTTGGTGGTGTTGTTTTGTGTATTTTGCTGCAACTTCAGTAGGACTTATTTATCAGTCGTACTTTTCAACTGTGTAATTTATTTTACCTATTTGATTCTATTAAAGCTGTTTCTTTTTTTATTAAATGTTAAATTTAATAATGAGTTTTATTCCCTATCAGGAGTATTATACATGGTGTTTCAAGTCAATCTCAAAATTTAAATTTGGTTGAATCAAATTAAGAAAGAAATAAAAGAGTCCTGTGAAAAAATGTGCAAAAACTTCATTTCGAAATACAGGGTGTTGAAATTTAAAATTAAATTTGCATTTCCTTTAGATATCTCGGAACCCATTTGACAAAAGGTAATTTACAAGAGTAAAATATTTACACAATTTGAAATATATAACGTACAGGGTGACATGGAAAAAAAAAAGAAATTTTGGAAAATATTGATTTTTTTTATTACTTCTATTAAGTGGAGGGAATATACTGACAATTGGTAGATAATATCCTCTACAGGTTGCCAATCAGTGGCGGAGTTAGAGGGTTCACTATGTTTAAATCAAATTAATAAATTAATACAGTCCATATAGATTTTATGTCAAGAGGAAATTTTTTTGTAGAGAAACCTTGCAAAATATGGCACAAAAATTCAGAGAAACTTTTTTTAGTAGGAATTATATTACCTATCACAAAATGTTAAAATAGTAATTTTTACAAGGCCATATTAATTTATTATTATTTATTATTTATTTGATTTCAGCATATTAAAACTCCGCCACTGGTTGGCAACCTGTAAAGGATATTAAGTACCAATTGTAAGTACATTCCCTCCACTTAATCAGAAGCAATAAAATATTTTATTTTTTTAACACTTATCTCAAAAACAAATAAAGAAGTTTAGACATAAATGTATAGGGACGTGGTGCTAAGCATTGCACTTTTTTCCATATCACCCTGTATATATGTTTTAATAATTTTGTATTCAGAAATACAGCTGAAAAAAATGTATTTAGAGTATTATTATAGTTTATACCTATTATTATACTTCTAATCCAGATATTTTATATGCCACCAAAAATTGATTTATTATATTGGCACAAACCTAACATAATGTACCTACTTCAAAAACTAGATGATTTAAATGTTACGGTTATATGTAATGTACCTATGTACTTTTGGTTGAGTAAAAAATCTAGGGCCTATATTAGACGTACTGCAGCATTGATGATGACTATTACAATATACAAGTAAATGCTGCAAGTTTCAAAATGTATTTTGAAATTTTATATCGGTAGGTCGCTGTTTGCATGTTTTTTTTTTTGAGGCCTCCATAGAGTTTACGCTTACATGCAGTCGTGGCCCACCCCTAGCTACGCACATGCCGAACAATATTAATGTTAACTAGTGATGGGCATAATCGACCAATTTTGATAATCGAGTTATCGGTAATCGAGTACTTCTAATAATCGAGTGATCACTCGAGATACGAGATATTGGTCGTTTTCATCCCAGCGGCGCACAAATATGTTTGTATTAGTCATATATTACTTAAACGGAGCTAAAAAAAAAAAAAAGCTCACGCACTTCAAAACCTAACCACTTTTTTGTTTTATTCTAAAAAAAAGGTTACGCAATCAGTGACTATTTGCAGTATGCACTAACATTTTGAGGTGCAACCGTAGGGTAATAATCACTCGAGTGGTGGGAGTAAACATCTCGAGATATCTCGAGTGATTTCAATAATCGAGTACCACTCGATTTTTCACTCGAAATCTCCCATCAGTAATGTTAACCCCTTAAGCCGGACCTGCAAAAAAATAACTAAACAGTAACAACTATTCTCATTTCTTTTGTGTATAACAACATATTATCTAGAATAACAACCACAATATAACATTATTAAGTAGAAGTGCAATAACTACGTGTAATAAATTTTCTATAATAAATAATAATGCAAATTCATCTTGTTTGCATTCACCATTCACCTTCCACCTTTGCACCTATAGGTTTTAGATATAATGGCCTACTACTGCATTACGTAAAATATAAACTTTGATTTAAGTTAAAATTTTCTTAACAATGGTTCCTAATCCTACATGAACATGAAATTGCCAATTTTCAATTCGCTGCCTACAACCTATAGACAGCTTCAGGCTTCAGCTTATATTATTAAGCTGTGCCAACGAGAATATACAATACTCTGGGCTGTGCTATAGACCTATATTTACCGGTTTACCGGCTAAAAAGGAAACTGACTGGCATTATAAATTATTACTAAACGTTAATACCTATCTAGCAGAAAATACCTAATTAATAATTAAATTGAAAGTAAGGATTCCTTGAAATTATGTTGTTACGTTTATCTGACGTTAAAGTTATTTCTAATAAAACAACCTTGCGTGATTCTGTGTTCATCACGTAGAGAAGTAGAATTTTATATTTTTAACAATTTATTAAAAATCAGATACAGCTTATTGAAAATTAAGCACTTGCTATAACAGTTATTATACGTTGAATGCTAAAAAATGTACTGATTACTCACTTATAAATACGTTATGCCATTATATAGGTATATTCAATTTGTCCAGATTTCCCGCGCATTTATTTAAATGCATGGAGATATACTATAATTAATAAAAGACTTATTTTAAACACAAATATTGGTGCTAATCATAGATAAAGTAATTTAAAGTGTACCCTTATATTTAAATATAAAATTTATGTTGTAGGTTTTTCTAAAAAATCTCAATATTTCCTAATTCCTACACAGAAGGTTCGAGACTAAATTTATCAACCAATGAAAAAGCTGATGTAAAGCGTCTTCGACCTGTCATTGGCTTTCTTGTGGAACATTCTGGAATATTCTGTGACCGTCGTATAAAACCGTCCATTGCTTTGTTCTAGAGAGATTTGATTGCAGTACTCGTCGAAGTATACACGTATTTAAGTTTGTAAAGTATTGTCTGCAACTACATTAAATAAGGTAAGTTTGTTCGCTTTTTATTACTGTACAATTTGCTGTAGCAATTGTTCGTCGTTTTGCCATATTTGACAAGTAATTTATTAAAGCAGGGACACGTGCGAAAATCTTCGTTAAGGTCACGTTTCCTGTTGAAGGGAGGGTCATTTACTTTTTATTTTTATTTTAAACGTTGCATTTTTTTTACCGAACAAGTTCGATTACAAGCACGCGTTGCATTATGTAATTGTAGGAAGAGACGTGGAATTTTAAAAATATTTAAATATATTTTTATTTCAGATGGCGAAAGCACCAGCAGTAGGTATTGATTTGGGTACAACTTACTCCTGCGTGGGTGTATTCCAGCATGGAAAAGTAGAAATTATTGCCAATGACCAGGGAAACCGAACTACCCCGTCTTATGTTGCATTCACAGACACGGAACGTCTCATCGGAGATGCCGCCAAAAACCAGGTTGCCATGAACCCAAATAACACAATTTTTGGTGAGTAATTTTTTTTTAAATTATAAATGTTAAATTATTGACCTGAAAGATTTTTTACGATTAAAGTGCCGTTAAATTTTATTTAAATTTCTTATAATTTTGGCCTTGAAATTTTCATTGTCGTCAAGGTTGATTGCCAAATCCAGTTCATCTATGAAAAAAATGAAATAATGTAAATTCTAAAATGGAGCTGAATGTTAATTAATTCTGAGAGAATATATGATGATATAATAGGTCATGCCAGACTGGAGTTTATGAGCTAATTTTATGATTATTTAAATAACTGACATAATTTATATAAAAAATATTGAAAGTATTTATTCATTATATGTTTTCATATTCCTGTTTTAATTACAGATGCAAAACGTTTAATTGGGCGTCGTTTTGATGATTCTGCTATACAGGCTGATATGAAACATTGGCCTTTTGATGTATTCAACGATGGTGGCAAACCAAAAATTAAAGTAAATTACAAGGGGGAAGAGAAAACCTTCTACCCTGAAGAAATTAGCTCAATGGTACTCACAAAAATGAAGGAAACTGCCGAAGCCTATTTGGGAAAGGCCGTAACGAATGCCGTCATTACTGTACCTGCATATTTCAATGACTCCCAACGTCAAGCAACTAAAGATGCTGGCACCATATCTGGTCTCCAAGTACTTCGTATAATTAACGAACCCACAGCTGCTGCTATTGCCTATGGCTTAGATAAAAAGGGACAAGGTGAACGTAATGTCCTTATCTTCGATTTGGGAGGTGGTACCTTCGATGTGTCCATCTTAACCATAGAAGATGGTATTTTTGAGGTCAAGTCCACTGCCGGAGATACCCACTTGGGAGGTGAAGATTTCGACAACCGCATGGTCAACCACTTTGTCCAAGAATTCAAACGTAAATATAAGAAAGACCTCACCAGCAACAAACGTGCCCTCCGTCGGCTAAGAACCAGCTGCGAAAGAGCTAAACGTACTCTCTCTTCATCCACACAGGCTAGTATTGAAATCGACTCTCTGTTTGAAGGTATAGACTTTTACACTTCAATCACCCGTGCCAGATTTGAGGAACTGAATGCTGATTTGTTCCGTTCCACAATGGAACCCGTCGAAAAAGCCATTCGTGATGCCAAAATGGACAAGTCGCAGGTTCACGACATTGTCCTTGTAGGAGGATCCACTCGTATCCCTAAAGTCCAGAAGCTCCTTCAGGACTTCTTTAATGGCAAGGAATTAAACAAGTCCATCAATCCCGATGAGGCTGTAGCCTATGGCGCTGCTGTTCAAGCTGCCATTTTGCATGGTGACAAATCTGAAGAAGTACAAGACTTGCTACTTTTGGACGTTACTCCTCTGTCACTTGGTATCGAAACGGCTGGTGGTGTGATGACCGCTCTGATTAAACGTAACACCACAATTCCAACTAAACAAACCCAGACCTTCACCACGTACTCGGATAACCAACCAGGTGTGCTGATCCAGGTATACGAAGGTGAACGTGCTATGACCAGAGACAACAATCTCTTGGGTAAATTCGAACTGACTGGCATCCCGCCAGCGCCACGAGGTGTGCCTCAGATCGAAGTAACATTCGACATTGATGCCAACGGTATCCTCAACGTAACGGCTGTAGAGAAATCTACTAACAAAGAAAACAAAATCACGATCACCAATGACAAAGGGCGCCTTAGTAAGGAAGACATTGAACGTATGGTTAACGATGCCGAGAAGTACCGCAGCGAGGATGAAAAACAGAGATGCACCATTTCTGCCAAGAACGCTTTGGAGTCTTACTGCTTCAACATCAAGAGTACCATGGAAGACGACAAGATCAAAGATAAAATCAGCGAAAGCGACAAGACTACCGTCATGGAGAAATGTAATGAGGTTATCGCTTGGTTAGATGCCAACCAATTGGCCGAGAAGGAAGAGTATGAGCACAAACAAAAAGAATTGGAGAATATTTGCAATCCAATTATTACTAAGTTGTATCAGGGTGCTGGCGGTGTACCTGGGGGTGTTCCTGGAGGGTTCCCCGGAGCAGGTGCTGCCCCGGGTGCAGGAGGCGCCGCTGGCGGTGCTGGTCCAACTATTGAAGAAGTTGATTAAACAATCATTCCATTTTATTTATGCCAGTATTATTTTGCAGACAAAACTTTCATTTTTTTTTTTATCTTATCACCAAAGAAACTTTTGTAATATTTATTAAATTAACTACAGTGCAGTTTTGTTAATAAATATCAAATCTAAATTTATATTTTGTTTCATTTAATATAAAGGTAGTTATTGAGGATGTTCCAATAATGGTGGTGGCGCGAAACCTAAATTTAATGTGGGCAAGGTACATTTCGCGGGGCCCTCTGATGGCGCAAGATGGTTTATAAAATAAAAAAAAACGAAATTGACAATTTTTTATTCATATAATTAGAAACAAATATTTTACTTGCGCTTCTTTGGCACATTAAATAAAAATTTAAAAAAAATTATAGAAACTGAAATTTTCTCCTTTTAACTGAATTCCTTCATGATTGGTTGGTAATTTATCTTAGATGGTATATCTGCTTCAATAGATAAAACTGCCAAAGCTGAAAGTCTCCTGACCCATTGTATTTCTTAAATAATTTTTTATTAGTTTTAATTTTAAAAAGCTCTTCAGCGGAATCAGTACTTGGTATTGTTAACAAAATTTGAATGAATGTAAATATTTGGGTAAATTTCTTTCAAATCATTGTCTATGATAGTTATATTGGAGCAAATGTTTCACGTCTGTAATGGAGTTGGGTAAATTTGGGATCATATTTTGTAATTCGTAAGGTTGGAAGTCACTACTCTTATCACCTACTTGCAGGACTGTGTGTATATCTTGACAGTTTTTCAGTATTTGTCCTTTTGGTATATTTTTTAATTTGTTTGTCGTAGATAAAACTAAAATTTTCAAAATGTTGAAATCTCGAATCCATATTGCTTATCACAGGGTTAATCATGGTATTAAAAAAATCTGTTTCATACCGGCTTTTGGCAGACTGTATAGGTTGATCACTAACTTCATAATCAAACATCCTTTTCTTTTTGGCTACCCTTTTATTTTTAAAATCTTGGCAGATCATAACTGCTTTTCTCAATAAACTGACGAGCGTCAGACAAACATTTTTCCAATCCAGTTCCTCGATATTCTTTGATCCAGTCGCAAAATGTACGCAAATGTTCGAGCGATGCTTAAATGAACGTACAGATTACCATAATTTGCTTATGGTATTGACACGCGTTAATAATGGATGGAGTTGAGAATTTTCTAATTTATTAATTATAAAAAACCTTGTGGCGTGCACTTTTGGATTTTCTATACTTTCCTTTAATTTATTTCGGCCGAGGCGCGAGGCCCTTTGCACCGCGAGGCCGTGGACGGTGGCCCACATCGCCCACGCCTTACGCCGCCTCTGTCCATTAATAATAGTAATAATATTTCCTGGGGAAAAAAATACCAGTTAGAGGTGCACGGTAGTTTAACAAATGCCATTACTGATATCGTATTTCACAGTACTGGTTGAAAAATTACCGGTACATTCACGATCAGGCATTTATTGAGATTTTTTAAATAGAAAATATATAAATATTTCAACTACTAACATTTTAAATGAGGCGTGTTGTATGGAAATAAAACGGTATAAAAAAGGATAAATTAAGTCGCAACAGATTTCTGATCTGAATGCAGTCGAGGAAATTCTATTTTTTACAATAAAAAAACGGTACAGTCGCCCCCTACTATTCAAAGGCAGTAACTGACTGAACTGCAATTATTAGTCACACATACTTTAGCTATTTACCACAAGATTGAGTTTCTAAACTATGCTAATATGTCACTTTTTTGGAAAATTGCCGGTATTCAGAAAAATTGTACCGTACCATGCACCCCTGGAACGAGTACGTGTATAATACTATTTGAAAATAATTTGGGGTATGGTTCTTGCTTTTTCTTTATTTATTTGGTATTTTTGAAAAGTATTAATGAAATAGACTTGCACCAGTAAGATCGGTCCAGGATTTTTTCAATAAAAATAGTATTGTCTAATCAATAGAGCATTAAAATCAGTGATTTTGTGACAAAAATACTAGTAGCAAACAGACTGTGTCATCATATAAAAGACAGTCTGTAGATATATGCTTCTATGTTTCCTACTCCATGCAATTTACCATTAATAAATTTTTTATGAACATTTTTATGCAAACGCATTTTTTTTAGTTTTTTGCTTATAAAACCTAAACCAACATAGCAATCTGAATGTTATTAGAGACAATTTGTAGAAAATCGAAATATGAATAAAACGAGATTGATCGATCCGATCGGATAATTACAAACGAAGAAAACCTGGAAAATTTAAAAATTCTACTCCATTTTTTAAGTTATAGAGGTGACCTTGTGCGCAAAAGTAATAAAATAAATTATATATGTACTTTAAGCAGGGATGTCGGACTAGTCAGTAGTTTTGGCACAATTGCAATTTAAATTTTTTATTATTTTGCAAAATTTATGGGGATGTGTTAAAGATCCCGATTTTAATTTTTTAACCGGATTTTAAAAGTAGTAGTAACTACAAAACGAATATATATTCTAATTTTCCGTAAAATGATGCGAAATAGTCAAAATATTCACCAAACATACTCAAAGACGGTTGAGTGGTGGGAAAAGATCGGGTGAAGAGGGGCAGTGGATATAATTATACAGGGTGTTCCTAAATAAGTGTCGCAACGGAAAACTGTAAATTCCTCTTGAAACATTTGAACATTTTTTTCCTCTTCCATTTTTCTCCGGGCTTTCGTTTTCGAGATACACGGTGTCAAAACTTTATTTTTTTTTAGTTTTTCGCCAATATCTTAGAAATCGTTTGAACTACAGGACTGAGCTTTTGTACACACATTACCACTATTAATAGCTACTTTTTCTCACCCTTCTCGAATTCATTGGACGTGCTAGTGGTGGAGATTTTAAGGTATTGTAAGGGTTTCCCCCCCCTAAATTTTACGCCACTGGAAAAATTTACTTTTGACAGCAAATTCTAAAGCGCCAATGAATTTTACACAATAAGAGTTCTCTTGGTCCATTGCTCTAAAGTCAACCGTTTTCAAGAAAAATGACTTTTTATGAACAAAAGCAAACATTTTTGCTATTCTTTCTCTATTTTTCTTATTGTGTAAAATTCATTGGCGCTTTAGAATTTGCTGTCAAAGGTCAATTTTTCCAGTGGCGTAAAATTTAGGGGGGGGGGAAACCCTTACGATACCTTCAAATCTCCACCACTGGCACGTCCAATGAATTCGAGAAGGGTGCGAAAAAGTAGCTATTAATAGTGGTAATGTGTGTACAAAAGCTCAGTCTTGTAGTTCAAACGATTCCTAAGATATTGGCGAAAAACTAAAAAAAAAAATTAAAGTTTTGATACCGTGTATCTCGAAAACGAAAGCCCGGAGAGAAAAATGGAAGAGGAAAAACATGTTTCTTTTTTCAAGAGGAATTTACAGTTTTCCGTTGCGACACTTATTTAGGAACACCCTGTAGATACATAGATATACAATTTTGAGCGTGTTTCTAATTATTCTGTGAATAAAACAAAGAAATATATTCCATTATCATTTTTCTCAAGTACATACAGCAGTAGATGTATTATCTTTTGTGGTAGAAGATAAAGCCGAGTGCTATATGAATAACTCCGTGCATATGTAATGTTTTTAATATTACCATTGTATTTTTTTATTAAAGGGCAGTTTACATGATGTCAGTAAAAAAGTGATTTGGTATAAAATACTTACGTAGAAGACATTTACTTGCCCAATTGAAACATCACTTGCTCAAAAGAAAAATGAAGCAATTTTCATAAAGAATCCGTTTTTTATTAATATCAGAAAAACTCATTTACCAATTTCATTAAAACTATTCAGATTTGTTTATAATAAAATACATGTAATGTAATTTGGCATTATTTATTTAACTAGTGGTTTCACGGAGGGTAACCCAGTAAATATTAATAGTACACAATATTGTACACCATTGCTTTTTACTACTACTGCTTTACAAATACAAGTTTTATGAAATTTTCAAATGTTGCTTTTCAAAAAAAAAAAATTAAAATTAAAAACTGTTTCCTCTGCAACAAAAAGACACAATACTAAAGTAATCGAGCTGTCGTCAAATTTGACCGTTTAGTTAAAAAAGTTAAGAGCAATACAGTTTATTTATGGCAATTCGTTAACAGCCTGGTGTCTCTATGAAGAAAGATTTCCTGTGTAATTTTGCATATGATGTTTGCTCGACTCCACCCTCACTGAAAGTCAATGTTTCAAAAGAGTTAACCCAATGGAATCAGGTGGCCTCGTATAACTGCCACTCCACAATACTAGTAGGAGATGGAGGATTGTCCTACAAGTATCAAGACTTACTACCTTGATATTAGTCAGTAAACAGTTTTCAGAATTTTTCCAGAATTGCCATAGTGAACTCCCATAATAATCATGGGCTAATGAGAACCCCCATGCAATATTAGAAAACTGCACTCAAAACCATTTTCACTTGTATGAGTTGAAATTGATGAAGACCATTTGATAGGTCTATTCTTATTACCAGCATGCAGCGTAGCTAACTGGAGAAATTATCTTGAAAAGGAATTGCCCAGATTATTAGAAGCTGTCCCACTTAAAAGTAAAAATGCATATGTATTACATGAACTACGATGCCCGCCAGCCCATTCCAGATTAGTTACTTATTAATATTTAGATGCTGGTATAACCATTGGCTAGATCGAGACAGTGTACAGTAATTATAGCCTCCATGGTCTCCAGACTGAAATCTACTGAACTTTTTGCAAAGGAGTTTAATTTGGAGTTTTTAATTGGTTTATATGACCCTAGTTGAAACTACTGAAGAATTAAAAAATCATAAGTTTGTGAAATAATTTTTCTCCGTTTATTAACCATGCATGCACTAAGACCACTAAGTCACAGATTAAAGGCCTGTATTGCAGTTTGCAGTTGGAAAATATCATTTTGGACAATCCTTATAACTTCACTGAACTATAAATTTTTAGAAGGTAGCAATTTTTATTTGAGAAAAAAATAAAAAAAAAATGTCAAGAAAAAAAATTATAAATAACAAACTTCATAAATCACAGCAGAGTGGCATGCCATATTTCTAGCTAGGACCAATATTTACCAAGTTATCCTCCATAACACCACCGGAATAAATAAAATCTAATTACATTAAAAAATGTATTTCATTATTGTAAATCAACCTGGAAGTTTGTGATACTTATGGGTTATGGGAAAGTTTTTCTGATAATTAAGGAACAATTTTTTTATGAAAATTTTAACACCCTGCACCTCCAAGAAGATGATGCATTTCTGGGCATATTTATAAAAGCTTTTTTTCAACGTTTTGGCAATATTAATGAATCATGGAAATTTCCATTTTATTAATTTATTTTAGGATTTATAATACAGAAGAAAATTATTTTATTTATTGTTCTTATCTGACAATTGTAATACTTTTTTCTCTAAACTAAATAAATGGTCATCTTCTACATCTGGAAATAAACTTCTCATACTGTTAGCTAAATTGCAAACATAATCAATGTTGGGCCCACTTGGCCCTATAGAGTTCACTACTCGTTTCGCAATATCATCAATTTCAGCATGGCCTCCATAATTACAATTATTCTCAGTTGCTACATAAATAGTAATCTCAAACGGGTTGAGATGATTATCTCTTGGATAAAATATTACATTATTCCTTTCATAACCACCCTTTTCTCTGTAGTCTAAGTGGTCTACAACTTTATTTATGTCAGATTCTCGAATCCTGTAAGCAATACCATACACTTCAGAATTACTATCCCCAGGGATCAAAGTTACAACTCTACCAGGATTTTCCGGAGTCCCTCGATGATCTGTACTTAATTGATAAAATTTTCTTTGAAAACCTTTAACATAACCCAATATTTTTTCTTCATATGGGAAATCAACACGCCACATCAAAGATCCATAACCAAACACCCACATTTCTTATTTCTTCATTTAATTATAATTTATATACGTAATTTTATTACACGAGTTAAAATGTAGTAAAAATTGTTAAAATCGACAGTCATTTGACTATTTTGACATGATTTTGACATTTGTACAATTACTGCAGAATTACTGTCATATCTATTATATATTTTGTGTGTCATACTGTCAATAGTGTCAATTACCGACACCGTCGGCACCATAGACCACCTAGACTGGCTTATAGAGCGACATTGGTGAAAACACTTTGAAGCCAGATTTGGGGCCCAGCGCTCAGTCGTATCCTCCTCAGGCAAGCCGTTGACTACGTACCCAACGTGACCGACAAACACAAAAGACCTAGACACCAACTTTTTGACCCTGAGTGACCACCCCAACGACATCCCCCCCCCCCTGCCCGCTAACCTTTTCTGTTCCAGAGACCGCCAGGATCAGAGAACGAAGACAACGACACAGACACATACATACTCCCCATACCCTCCTTTCCCCTCCCCTCCCGCGTTAGTCTAAGGGCCACCTTAGCAAAGCGCATCCCAGGCTGCATAGCCGCACTACCCTTCCCAACCATACCACACAAACATGACACCACCCCCGGGGTTTACACAGACGAGCCGGCGAAGCAAGAAGAGCGCCAGAAGATAGGGCCCTAGCCGGCGGGGCCCAGCCAGGACAAAAGGAGGTCCCACAAAGCGCCTACACCGGCCGCATTTGCGGTCGGGGTAGACGACGGATGGGGCCCACCTACGAAGGCTGTCCAGGCCTACACGAGATGAGGCAGGATAAAGAGGGATAATCCCCCTCGATCCCAAATCATTGAGGCCAATTTCTAGCCATA